AGCACTACATTATGATTAAGGGGACAATACACCAGGAAGACATAACACTCATCAATATATACTCACCAAATGAAGGGACACCAAAATATATTAGACAATTATTATCAGCTCTGAAAACAGACATTTAAAAAATGCATATATAGTAGGAGACTTCAACACCCCACTGTCACCAATGGACAGATCAACGAGACAAAAAACAAATAAGGACACTAGAGCCCTAAATAAAGACATAGAACTCATGGGCTTAAGAGACATCTGTAAGACACTGCACCCAAAAAAAATCCGAGTATACTTTTCTCAAGGGTGCATGGATCATTCTCCAGAATCTATCACATACTGGACCACAAGACAAACATCAACAGATACATTAAGATCAAAAATCATTCCAACTATCTTCTCTGATCATAAAGGCATCAAACAAGAAATAAATCATGAAAAGAAACAAGAACCCTCCCACTTCATGGAGATTGAAACACACACTACTGGAAGAACATTGGATTAAAGAGAAGATCAAAGATGTTAAAAAGTACTTTGGGTCAAATGACAATGGAGGACACAAGTTTCCAGAAAGTATGGCACATATCAACAACAGTAATAAGAGGAAAGCATATAGCAATACAGGCTCACATCAAAACACAAGAAAGAACTCAAAGATAGAAACTAATCTCACATCTCAAAGAACTAGAAAAAGAAGAAGAACAACAACAATAACAGAAACAAAACAAAAAAAGAAGAAAGGAAATAATAAAAATCAAGGCAGAAATAAATGAAATAGAAATAAAAAGCAGTGCAAAAGATCAACAAATCCAAAATTTGGTTCTTCAAAAAAATAAACAAAATAGACAAACCTATAGCCAACCTCATGAAGAAAAAAGGGGAGGAAACACAAATAAATAGTATCATAAATGAAAGAGGAGAAATTAGAAAAGACTCAGTAGAAATCAAAAGAATAATCAGAGATTAGTATGAAAATTTATATGCAAGCAAGTTCAACAATCTAGACGAGATGGACAAATTCCTAGAATGATATATCATCCAAAGCTAGGTAAAGAAGGAATAGAACACCTAAAAAGACTAATTACAAGCAGTGAAATTGAAGCATTAATTGATACACTCCCCAAAAGCAAAGGCCCAGGACCAGACGGCTTCACAAATCAATTCTACCAAATGTTCAGAAATGAACTAGTGCCTATACTACACAAACTCTTTTAAAAAACTGAGAAAGAAGGAACATGTTCTATGAAGCCAACATTACACTAATACCAAAACCAAACAAAGACAACACACAAAAAAGAAAACTACAGGCCAATCTTCCAAATGAACACTATGCAAAAATCCTCAATAAAATCCTCACCAACAGAATCCAACAATGCATCAAAAGAATAATACACCATGATCAAGTGGGAATTTTTCCAGGGGCAAGGATGATTCGACATCTGAAAATCAATTGAACTGAATAGACATCCCAGAAATAAAGCCATACAACACATCAGCAAAAAGAAAAATACAAACCATTGATCATATTAATAGATGCTGAGAAAGCATTTGACAAATTTCAACATCTGTTTATGATGAAGGCCCTTGAAATTCTTGGGGTAGAAGGAACATACCTTAACATGACAAAAGCCATATATGACAAACCCACAGCCAATATTATTCTCAGTGGTGAAAAGCTGAAGGCCTCTCCTTTAAGATCAGGAACAAGACAAGGATGTTCACTCTCCCCACTGCTCTTCTATATAATACTGGAACTCTTAGCCAGAGCAAAAGACAAGAAAAAGACATGCAAGGAATTCAAATAGGGAAAGAAGTAAAACCATCACTATTTACAGATGACATGATAATACACATAGAGAACCCTAAAAACTTCACAGAAAAACTAATCAAAATAATCAGCCAGTTTAGTAAAGTAGCAAGATATAAAATCAACACACGAAAATCAGTAGCCTTCCTATATACAATCAATCTGAAGAAGAAGAAATTAAGAAAACAATCCTGGGCTTCTCTGGTGGCTCAAGGGGTTAAGATGCAACCTATGAATCTATCTGCAGCCATTGCAGCACAAGTTCAATCCCCAGCCAGGGAGTTGCCCACATGGTGCAGCAGACCTCTCCTGACTCGCCCACTGCTCCCCTCAGCAGTGTACTTCAGTCAATCTGCCTGTTTTGTTCCCTACTTGTCTCTAGTGAATTCTCTCACCTCCGCACCTCTGGTTGATACCCCAGTTGTTGTGTGCATGAATAAATAAATGTTTTTTTTTTTTAAAAAAAAAAAACAATCCCATTTACAATCAAAACGAAAAATCAAGTACCTGGGAAAAACTTAACCAAGGAGGTGAGTGACTTATACAAAGAAAATTATAAACCATTGTTAAAAGAAATAGAAGACACAAAATATGGAAAGATATCCCCTGCTCATGGATGGGTAGAATTAACATTATTAAAATGGCCATCTTACCAAAAGCAATTTGCAGATTCAATGCAATCTCCATAAAAATCTCAATGACATTCTTCAAAGAAATAGAACAAATATTGATGAAATTCATATAGAGCCACAAAAAAACCCTCAAATAGCCAAAGCTAAAATGAAGGAGAATGGCAGTATCACACTCCCAGACTTCAAACTTACTACAAAGCCAAAATAATTAACATTATGGTACTGGAACCAAAACAGACACAGAGACCAATGAAACTGAATAAATAACCCAGCAATAAAGCCACACATATATGGGCAACTAATCTCTGATAAAGGAGAAAAGAATATGCAATGGAACAAGGCCAGTTTGTTCAGTAAATGATGCTGGGAAAATGGACCACCACATGCAAAAGAATGAAACTAGACCACTACCTCACACACTGAACAAAAATCAACTCAAAATGGATAAAAGAATTGAACATAAGACCTGAAACCATTCAATATAAAGGAAAAAAATATATACGTAAATATTATAAGACATACATCTCAGTAATATCTTTAAAGACTCATCCCCCAAAGCTAAAAATGTGAAGGAATAGATAAACAGCTGGGATTACATCAAACTGAAAAGCTTCTGTACAAAAAAAGAGAGAAAATAACCAAAACAAAAAGATACCCTACTGATGTTGAGAAAGTTTTTGCACTTCATACAACTGATAGGGGACTGATCACAAAGATATACAAAGAACTCACATGACTCAACAAAAACAAAGTAAACAATCCAGTCAAAAAATGGGCAGAAAAAGCTAAAAAGTCACTTCTCCAAAGAGGAAAAGCAAATGGCCAACAAGTATATGAAAAACTCTCATAATCAGGAAAATGCAAGTCAAAACCACAAAGAGATATCACCTTACACCAGTAAGAATGGCACATATCAAAAAAACTAGCAACAGCAAATGTTGGTGAGGATGTAGAGAAAAAGGAACTCTCCTACACTGCTGGTGGGAGTGCAAACTGGTCCAACCACTGTGGAAAGTTGTGTGGAGGTTCCTCAAACTATAAAAATGGAGCTTCCATATGACCCAGCAATTCTATTCCTAGGGATCTACCCAAAAAACAAAAACATTAATTTAAAAGGATACCTGCACCCCTATGTTTATCGCAGCACTATTTATAATAGGTAAGATATGGAAAAACCCAAATGCCCCAAAATAGATGACTGGATCAAGAAGATATGGTGTATATACATAATTGAATACTACTCAGCAATCAAAAAAAGATAAACTCATGCCATTTGCAGCAATAAGGATGGAGCTAGAAGGGATTATGCTCAGTGAAATAAGTCAGAAGGAATAAGAAAAATATTGGATGGTTTTACTTATAGGAGGCATATAGGGAACCAAATACAGGATCAGGGAAAACATTAAAAATAAAAAACAAAACAAAAATAAACAGGCAACTATAAATCAGAGACATTCTGCAGGGGAGGGGGAGGAAAAGGTATCAAAACAAGAGTGGGAAAAGCACAAGGGACTTTGGCGATGGTGCACAGGTGAATGGTGGTGGGAATTCTATGGGGAATACACCTGAGAAAAGAAAGCAAACATTGTACAAAAATGAACAATGATGTAAAATATATAAATAAATAAATTATATATAAAAAAGATGAAATCTTGACATTTGCAACATGAATGGAACCAAAGAGATTATGCTAAGCAAAATAAATCAGAAGGAGAGATAGATATCACATGATTTCACTCATATGCAGAATAAGAAGAAATAAAACAAAGGAACAGACAAAATTAAACCAAATCAGACTCTAGAAATATGACTGCAAAAATGATGCTGCCAGAGATGGAGGGGATGGGCACTGCAGCGAGGCAGGAACTTAATTGACAATGGTGGAGAGTTATAGGTGGTGGGTGTAGAGTGGTAACATACATCTGAAGAGTGTGAATCTATTCCTCTCGATCATATACAGTGTTGTAAACCAGCATTTCCTCAAAAAAATAATGCAACAGAAAAGAAAGAAAAAAATGACAGAATGGACTTCATTAAAAATAAAATAAAAATAAAAATAATAAAATGGTACTTTTCTAAAGGTACCATGAAGAAAACAAAATGACAAATCACAAACTGTGAGAAAATATTTGCAATAAGTATGTGATGGTTAATTTTATGTGTCCTGTTTGAGTTCAGATAAACCCAAATAATAAAACATTATTTCTGGGTTGGAAAAAAAGATGTCATTCAATAAATACTTGACTTAAGAAGTGAGAGAAATATGGTCAAGGTGTTCTCGAGTCCAAGTTGAATTGGCTCATCTTACAAAAGTCAATTGAAGTGTCATGTCTAAATAGTACACTGCCTTGAGAATGGATTTGAGAATTGACCTGGAATGTTTCATTCTCTGCTCTATTTCACTCAGGCACTAGAGGCAGAAAAGCAGTGCTTTCTTGCAACACCTGGAACTTCAAGATGCCCAGAGGTCAATATTCACTATTTCTGCTCTCGAGATCTAAGTCAATTTTGCAATAGAATTTTCATTCATTAGCTCCCTCATGGCTTCCTTCTGTTTAGATTACCTGGGTCAACTAGTAAGTATTTAGGAACTCTGTCATCCACGATTAACTGTTCCGAGGTAATTTTGTGAAGCCCCAGCCGGCCTACTGTTAAGGTCCTCTGAACCTTCTTCCGTATCTCAGTGAGCGCCAACGAGCTGGCATGATGGAGGATGATGTCATAAGGAAAAGTGTGCACTGGAGGAGAGATCCCATACTGAGCCAGTCTTTGCCGAGACTTGGAGAGTTTCTCCAGAGGGGAGAGGGATCTGGTCAGCAGGCTGCGGTGGAGAAGGTCAGTCATTGATGCTGGCTTCACTTTTCTCTCCACCTTGGCCTTGAAAACTGGCTGGAGATCTCTCACATCAGTTCTGCTGATGAATGACATAGCAACCAGGTTTTGGATAAGCATTTTCTGTGCTTCATCAAGTGAAATACCCTGAGTTTTCAGGAGATTTGATTTCTTTCTCTCTCTATTAAAATTCTCAACAGATGCATAGAGTTCTGGCAGCTGTTTGGGAGAAAAAAAAGGAAGTCACGAGATTGAGGAAAATGCAGTTATGCCCCAGACCCATGTGTGCTAGAGAAAGCAGATTAACAACCACAGAAAATGAAGCATCTGTCTCTGGAAGACAGCTTTACCTAACTACACCAAGTTCAACAATGGCAATCTGGAATAGATATCAAAAGATCGTATCACAGATTCATTCCTCCAAAAGGCTATCATTTTGACGCATCACTTAAACCCCTTCTTATAATATAAACTCCTTAGACTTGGACTCTAAAGTCTTTACGATCTTCCCAACACTAAAATTCTGGGTCACCGTGGAGAGAGGCAACTGTTGGGGTTTGCTACCTTTGTTTTGAGTAAGGTCACATTTCTTCAAAGGAAGAAAAGAAGCCAATATCAAAGATTTATACTGGTGTCCAAAGAGCTCAGGATGCTCAGGAATGCAATGTAAAGGAAATTACAGTAGTTCTTACTCACTGGACTATTTTACCAAAGCAAATAGTTACATTTGGAGATGTTTGGGGATAGTCATGGGTAGAAAAGACAATAAATGTCTAAATTAGAGTACTCTTCTCTATCTAGAATCCTATATTGAGAGAATGATATTTTTTAGAGCCGTCTGCTACTAAACCCTTTATTCCTAAGAGATTTCTTAGATCATTTTTTAATTTATTTATTTTTAAAGATTTATTAATTCATTCATAGAAGAACTGGGGTGCAGGCCAGAGGTGCAGGGTGCGGGGGTGAGAGGATTCACCAGAGACAGAGTGAAGAGCAGAACAGGGGATCCACTGAAATACACTGCTAAGGGAGCAGGGGGCGAGACAGGGGAGGTCTGCTGTGCCATATGTGAGTTACCTCCCTGGCTGGAGATCAAACTCAGGTCATAGTGGTGATAGCACAGAGACCACCGGAGGCCCTCTTAGGTCATTTTAAATTGGAAGATTAAGGAGATCAAAATCTCATGAGAAAGCCCAAATTTGTGCCGTTTAGCCCAATTGACTTTCCTTTAGATCCTAGCCCATTCCACTGCAAGAGTAATAGGAAGTGCACTAAAGTTGACAAATGGCTCTTTAAAATTCATTACTATTATCAGAAAAGCAAGTTAGCATTCCTATTTACCTGCCCAGGGAAGGGTTGCCTTTTGCTAAGACTAAAAATGTAAGTCATTGAAGTGAAATTCTGTGTTCCCTATAACCCCCGAGGTATGTCACTGAATATTCAACAGTTCATATTTTTCAAATTCTTGGATATAGATTTTCCTGTGCACGATATTACAGAATCATAAGTACATACTGAATATTTAGCCGACTCTGTTGTCATATGGTGTTTAGTTGGGTCCATGTCTCTACTGAAGAACATAGTGTTGGAATTGTATTCTCTAATTCCTAAAAAGCAATATAAAGGAAGACAAAAGAAATGATAAAAAATTAGGTAAAGTACAAAGGGGGTGTTAAACTTTTTAAATCTTCAGGAGTTTGTTAAGTGAAACACTTTAAAAATTTTATACCATTTAAATTTTTCCTTTGTTTTCTTCTCAATCTCAGTCTGCAAAATGAATTGCATGCAAAAAAAAAAATACTTTCTCAGAAACACCTCAAGTTCTTATAGTTCAGGCATTTACTGCTAGTTCAAAGAATCCTGTATAAATTATTTATTTTTTGTTTTCATATATTCTGATCAAATCTCAGTTCATCTAAAAAAAAATATAAAAAACAGCTCATCTAGCTCCTTAACCAGAAAAAGTATTTTTTTATTCAGAAGAAAAAGGCAAATAGCAATATCAACAACAAAACAATTAACATTTTGAAATAATTTGCTTTGAGCCAGATACCAAGTAGGCATTTTACAGAATTATTATATTTAAGTTAATATAGAACTATATTTACATATTAAATGCAACCTATTTACATTAAAATTAATACATTTAAATTTAAAAACTGAATTTTATTTAATTCTTTTGTGAGGAATTAAAAGTGGCCACAGATTCTTTACCACAGAATCGGTAAGTGGAAGCTAAGTCAATCCTACATTTGACTCTGTGTTGGCTTTGTACTTAGCTTTGATTGACAGCATGAGGTTTAAGTGTGAGAACCGGAGTCTAGGCCTTAAGAAGTTTTGCCATTCCATGTCATTAAAAATGTCTCTATATTTTTAGACATAATGCTATTGCACAGTTAATGTGCTTTGTACAGCGTGAACTTAACTTTTATTTGCCCTGGGACACCCACCAAAAATTTGCATAACTCCTATTATTGCTGTATTAACCTTATTGTAGTGGTCTATAACCGAACCTGCAATATCTCCAAAGTATACCTGTTGTGAACATTAATATTTAGAACTGCATTTAAATAAGGCCAGAAGGCTAGGGAGTACCCACAAGGACATAAATCAGTAATCCACACCACCCAGTTTTCCTTGCAGTTCCCGTTGTTCCCTGTCCAAAGCTAGTGATTTCAGCTAAGTACCTGTACATTAGAACCTTCTAAGAAAACTGCTAATAAACAACATCATACCAAAATTTGAACATATATTCATCACACTTGAAAGCCAAGATAAGCAATTCCTTTGTCAGTTATTATTTTTGATCAAAGCTTATGATTCAAAAAGAAAAATAGCTTTTCCGCCGTACCTAAAAATAGGAGAGTTCATAAATTTTCTGGACTGATCTCTGCTCTGTACAGTCCTTGACTTTCTAAACCTTAGTAAACCTTGTTATGCTTTAATATTAGTGTTATAAATTACTGAAAACCTCTATAAATTTAGCATCTTTTCTCAAATTTGGACAGCTTTTTTTTTTCCATTCTGAATGCTTCAACACTTAGGTCACAAATTGAAGTATCAGTAGAAAAATATCCACCCTTAGGGCAAGAAACTGACAAAAGTGAAACAGAACATAAAAAAAGCGCATAATAATTCCTCACAGCATCATAAACTTTGAACTCAGTATATTTTCCTAAATTTTAGTGGTTCCAACTACAGGAATACCAAAATTGTTATATGGCCTGAAATTATTTAAACTAACAATTTTTCCCAATTCTTGACATTAATAGATTTATAGTTTTATTATAGTAACAAATGTTTCAGTGAGATCTACACACATATATAGAATTATTATATTTAAATTGATATAGAACAATATTTACATATTTAAGTTACACTTTTGAATTTAGAAGATGAAGTGCAGCTTAAATTTTACAACATAGAAAATAAACAAGACAAAAATAGAGTAAACAATAAAAATGTTAAAGTCTATTTTGACATAACATGTGGAAACTCTTTGTCAGAAAACAACATCTTCTTAATCTGATTGTCCAAATCATTAAAATATGCATGATTCAGTGCCATTTTACCAGAAATTCATTTGGCAGGATCCTAGACTAACATTTTTAAGAGCAGATCCAAGCCATTTTCATCCAAATTTTTGACATGGGACACTAGGCAACCTGATTTCCACTTAGGAAATATATTCTTGTACTCTTGTAAAGATCATGAATTTGTCTATTTCTCTTTTCAGTTTTACCAATTTTTATTTCACATATTTTGCAGTTCTTCTTTGATCATTTTTTCCCCATTATTGGGAGTGCCCGAAGCTTTGAAAATTCTGAAGAGTTGATCAATTTCTGAATCCTCAAGAAAAAGTGGCTTCTTAATTCCTAATTCTGCAAATATAGTGCCTGTGCTCCAAATATCACCTGGAGTTGAACAGTGAGCTGACCCCAGCAGTACTTCTAGAAATCTATACTAGTGTCACTGCATCATGAGTATGCACTCTGGCATGTATTCCAAAAGCTCTGGCAAAGCCCAAATCAGACAATTTTATTGTTCCTTTGTCATAAATCAACAGATTTTGAGGTTTTACTTCTGTGTGTAGAACTATTCCAGAGTGCCAGAACAATTCCTTGTAGGATTTAGTGCAAATAACAAGTGAAGAATCCATGAGCTGACCAGGAAAGATAGAATCCAAGTATTTTTGAGATCCATGGAAAAAATTAAAATATGAGGTATAACCTCAAATCCTGCATAAGCACATCTTGAAGACTGACTACATTTGGATGACAACGTTCTCTCAATGGGGACATTTCCTGAATTGCAGTATTAGGAACCCCTTCTTCTTGTTGTACCCTTGTATATAAATACCCCTATATATACTTATATATACCCTTATATATAACTCCATAGGTACCTTCTCCAATTTTCTCTATTTTGGTATAGTCTTCTATAATCAATCAATGAATATGGTAGATCTTGGCTTATTATCCCACAGTGAAAGTGGTAGCCACAACTTAACTTCCCAGAGCCAGCTTTGAGGCTAAGTACCTCCGCGGTTGCAGAGAGAATTATTAATTTTGGATTTGGGAAGAGACTGTGGGTCTCACATGAACAAATTTTCCAGTCTACCTTCTCTTCTGTTATTTTTGTTTCCAGCTAAACAATTTGTTGTTGAAATAACTAATTGCCTTTTTTAAGATCAACTGTGTACATATCCAGATACATTATTATCATGTCCCAGTGTATTTTATCAATATGCAGGACCAAAAAAGCAATACAGTGCAGCATACCTACTCCCTTTTGGACATGTGGATAGTAGCTTCACCGACATGTTTATCCCTCATCGGATAAAATGAGACTTGATCATGCTTTTCCTTAGATAGGCTCTGCAACATCTATGAAATTTGTACTCATTTCATTGCGATGAGATTGACAACAGTGAGTGGAGGACAAGGAAGCCTAGATTTTGCTGATTCTTTTTGCTGAACTACTGTTGACAACTCCCTCTTGTGGAAGGATTCAGATTCAGAATGCTGAAACAGATTACTAGACAAAGATGTGATGCATTTATTCACTTTACTACTGACTTTACTAATGTACCTTTTTCGTTAGGTGCTTTGCTAGTTTTGGCATCTAAACTACACTTGCCCTTTAATCCCCCGCTAGAGTGTTCCTGGAGCAGTCATTAAAATAGAGCCAATGGGCCCTGGTTTACAGATTGGTGCAAATTGAGGGAGCCCTTGCAAGGGTTCTTTAGCACTTGTATTTATCTTTTGTTATCCCAGAAATTCCCACAGTAAATTCTAATTTTCCTATAAGACAAGGGCATCTCACAGGAGCCCCTTTGGGTGGTATTCATGTTTCCATTTGTATTCACACCTGACTTTTCCCCCTTCCCTTGAGGTCAGAAGGAGAAGGCTCTCTCTACTTGCTTAATGGTAAGTCCTCTCTCTCTCCCAAGATGTATTATTTTACCTCCACATCACTCTTGGGGAATATTTCCCTCTTGTTGGCGAAACAACTTCTTTTTCTGCTTTTGTTTCTCCTGATAGAGAAACACTTGATCTTAGCCAAAAGGCCGAGAAGCGATCTCCTGATAGAGAAACAATCTCACTTTTCCAATGACTTCTTTGCAAACATGTAAAATCTCTTCCATTAACGGCAGCAGTAATTTCTCAATCATCAATTCTAACACAGTTTTTATAGTCTTCAATTTTATTCATCTCAACTCTTAACTGTTCTTTCATTTTAATATGGATTTAGAAAAAAATCTTCACTATTCTTTCTAAACTAAGAATTGCTATTATCCTAACTGGTGTCTTGGTGGTGGTAGTTTTATGGGGACAACCCCTGAGAAGAGAAATCAAACATTGTACAAAAATGAGCAATGATGTAAAAATATATGAATAAAAATTAAAAAAAAGAAGACTGGTTGATGGCAAATTTGGATAACTTCTCCAGGTTTCCTTGCTCTTGTGCTATTTTTCCTTCATTCTTTTTTTCCTTCTTTCTTTAGCCAGCTCATTCTTCAGTCTTGGCTCCTTATTACTCTCTGAGTAATATCCCTGAACAGACTTTAAAAATTATCCACAATCTGCTTCTAATACTTTCCTATCATTTAAAAATATTTCCTTGCCACCTCCATGTCAAGGAAACCAGCTAGGTCAATTCATTTTTTCTTAATAATCTCCTGTGCTTCTGTGCACTGAGTCTGTGCTCACTTTTGACTTCCACCTAATTACAAATGTTAATTTAGAGATTTTTCTCTTTTATGCCAAGCTGAATAAAAACCCAATGGAAGATGAAACTGAAAAATGTATGGACAATGTAGAGTAGGTATTGTGGCAAACAAAAGTACAATGTGTAATGGGAAATAAAAATATAGGAAAAATTAAAAAAAATTTAGGGATAATTATAGTCAACTGACTTTCTGCAAAGTCACCAAGACAATTCAATGGGTGAAAGAATAATGTTTCCAATAAGCAGTATAGGAGAAATTTGATCTCCACAGGGAGAAGAAGTAAGTTGAATTCTTAGCTCAATCTACAGACAAAAATTAATGTAAAATTAATCATAGACCTAAACGTTAGAGCTAAAACTATAGGACCCCTGGAAAAAATAAAGGAGTAAATTTTCATGACTTTGGGCTACACTCTCCACTGCAGAATGCCTTCAATTAATAGTTTTTTAGATAATATACATAGAGAACCCCAAAAACTCCACAGAAAAACTAATTCAACTCATCAATCAATTCAGTAAAGTGGCAGGATACAAAATCAACACACAAAAGTCAGTAGCCTTCCTATACACAAACAATAAATCTGAAGAAGAAGAAATCAAAAAAAACCATCCCTTTTATTATCGAAACAAAAAAAATCAAGTATTTGGGAATAAATCTAACAAAAGAGGTAAAGGACCTATACAAAGAAAACTATAAAACACTGTTAAAAGAAATAGAAGAAGACACAAAGAAATGGAAAGACATCCCCTGCTCATGGATTGGAAGAATAAACATTATTAAAATGGCCATCCTACCAAAAGCAATATACAGATTCAATGCTATTCCAATCAAAATTTCAATGTCATTCTTCAAAGAAATAGAACAATTATTGATGAAATTCATATGGAATCACCAAAAACCCCGAATAGCCAAAGCTCTACTGAAAAAAAAAAGAAGGAAATGGAGGCATCACACTCCCAGACTTCAAACTATACTTCAAACCCATAATCATCAAAACTGCATGGTATTGGAACAAGAACAGACATACAGACCAATGGAATCGAATAGAAAATCCAGAAATAAACCCACAGATTTATGGTCAACTAATCTTTGACAAAGGAGCAAAGACTATGCATTGGAGCAACAAAAGTTTGTTCAATAAATGGTGCTGGGAAAACTAGGTCGCTACATGCAAAAGAATGAAGCTTGACCACTACCTCACACCATACACACAAACCAACTCAAAATGGATTAAAAAACTAGACATAAGACCTGAAACCATAAAATACATAGAAGAAAATATAGACAAAACACTACATGACATGCACATCAAAGACATATTTACAGACACATCACCCAAAGCAGTAATAGTGAAGGCAAAGATAAACAGTTGGGACTACTTCAAATTAAAGAGCTTCTGCACAGCAAAAGAGACAATAACCAAAACAAAGAGAAACCCCACCAACTGAGAGATAATTTTTGCACACAACACTAACAATAAAGGACTGATCACAAAAATCTACAAAGAGCTGATGAGGCTCAACAAAAACGAAGAAAATAATCCTGTCAAAAAATGGACAGAAGAGCTAAAAAGAAACTTCTCTGAAGAAGAAATGCAAATGGCCAACAGGCATATGAAAAAATGTTCAAAGTCACTTGCAATCAGGGAAATGCAAATCAAAACTACAATGAGATACCATCTTACACCAGTGAGAATGGCACATATTAAAAAAACTAGCAACAACAAATGTTGGCGAGGGTGTGGAGAAAAAGGAACTCTCCTGCACTGCTGGTGGGAGTGCAAACTGTTCCAACCACTATGGAGAGCTGTGTGGAGATTTCTTGACTTACTAAAGATAGAGCTTCCATATGATCCAGCAATTCCACTCCTAGGTATTTACCCAAAGTGTTATAGGACAGGGAGAGGGGCAGCCCAAACCCCGCAAACCTGTCTATTCTATGTAGGGTTCTGCCATCCGCCGCATCAACACAAAACATAGGAGACTTTAAGGGGAAGGAACTTTAATAAAACTAGGAAACAATACAGGTAAGGCAAAGAGTCTAGTTTCTAAATGAAGCACCCAAAGTTACCCGTCCCCTCATGGGTAAAACTCCATCCATATGGGATCGGCCCACAACAAGGCCCCAAAGCCTGCCACAAGTCTAAAGCATCTTCCAGTGGGGACCCACAGAAAAGGGTCAGAAACAACCAGACATGCCCGGAAGGAAAAGAGCAAAATCAACATCAAGATAAAAGCTGCCATTGTCACCTCCCCACGGGTCTCACCCACATCTGTGTCACCCAATCCACGACCAAAAGACAAGCACAGTTTCTTCACGTGTCTCTAGGCTCCATGCGCCTCCTCCAGGTCTCCTGGCTCCATCCTGCTTCCTTCCTCAGTCTCTTCTGCAGCTTCTCCTCTTCCTGCTCAGCTCCACCCTCCCTTGGGTGGGGCAGGGAACCTCCCCCTTTCCTGGGGACCACCCTGTTACAAAAGGACACAGAAACATTAATTCCAAAGGGCACCTGCACGCCTATGTTTATAGCAGCACTATTTACAATAGCTAAGCTATGGAAACAACCCAAATGCCCAAAAATAGATGACTGGATTAAGAAGATTTGGTACATATACACAATGGAATATTACTCAGCAATCAAAAAAGATAAACACATGCAGTTTGCAGCAACATGGATGGAGCTAGAAGGGATCATGCTCAGCTAAATAAGTCAGAAAGAAAAAGAAAAATACTGGATGGTCTCACTCATAACAGGAATTTAGAAAACCTAAATAAGAGACCAGGAAAAAGACTAATCAATACAAAGTGAAAATCAAAATCAACAAAGAACTATAAACCAGAGACACACTAAGCGGGGGGTGGAGAGGGAGCAGCAGGGAAAGGAAGGACTAGAGTCAAAATAAGGGGGTAGGTGCAATTGTATGGGGAATATAACCAAAAAGAAAATGCATACATTGTACAAAGATGAAAAAAGATGTAAGAATTATATAAAATAAAATATTCAAATAATAAATAAATAAATAAAGGCAGTAATAAACATTACAAGCATGATATGTGATACACACGTAATATAGCATATGTGCATTTATGTTACAATTTATATACTTTACAAACTTGTTATATATTTACATATCAATATTTTTCTTCATCTATTATACTATACCTATAAATCAGACATATACTATAAACTATATATTATACAGAGGCTACAATTATTTACCAGTATATATTATTTGATGTCTATTGCAGAATTGTATTGTACTGATAATACTTACTTACCCTCTCATACAAAATTTACATAATATGTAAATCTATATTTTATAAAGAAAATGAAGACTGGTAACTGTTGCAAATTCAAGGAGACTAAAAAGAAATGATGATGAATGACCTTGGTTTTAGAAAACATAATTCAGAAAACTAAATTGCTAAGGCATAAAGTGGATGAAGTGTCTCAAGTGTTTCAGAAAGCAAATAATATTTTCATATATTAAGAGGGAAAGTGATAAAACAAAGTGGCAAAATGTTAAAAACTTGCAAATCTGAATAAAGAATGTAAGGTCATTATAAATAAATAAATAAATAAATAAATAAATAAATAAAAATGAGCAAAGGATTTAAATAGAGATTTCTTCAAAAAAGATGTGTAAGTGTCCATCAAGCACACAAAAAGTTGCTCAACATCATTAACTATTAGGAATATGCAAATTTAAGTCACAGTTAAGATTGTACTTCCTATAATGCAGACAGATAATAACAAGTGTCAATTATTTGAGAAATTAGAACCATCATACATTTCTGGTAGGTATAGCTCAGTCATTTTCAAGAATGAAAGTATGTGGCCCAGGAGTTTCATTCCTAGATATATATCTAAAAGACATAAAAATATATGCATATCAAAACTTGTATGTGAATACTCATATCAGCATTATTCATAATGGCCAAAATGTGGAAACAAACCCAAAGGCCAAGTCTATCAAGCCAAATTCTTGTAAAGTAATTGGGTTTTAGGAAAAAAGAAATAAATGCTATTTTATCTATAGTCATAACCAGACAAAAAGACCAAAAAAAAGTGTAAGCCAAAGATTTTTCTATTTATCCTAAGATATGCTCAAAAAATTTAAAGCTAAAGAAATAAAAAGTTTTATCTTGCAAGAACTCATGGAATGGTGCACCCACGACTCTTTCTTGGGGGTGCTATTGTTGATAAACTTCAGGCAAAGGTAAAGTAAGAATCCTTTGGCAATAAGGTAAAAAAGATGAAGTTACTTAGACTTTCTATTTCTAAGTATATATTTTTACATTTGAAAAATTTATTTGCATATATTTAAGTGAGATACTAATGGTTGTTCACTGAAACATTGTTTGTACAAATAACAGATTGAAAACGGCCTGTTGTCCCAAGAGAGTGGAAGCCCAAAACAATCTCAATGCCTATCAACAATATAAAGGATGATTGTGGTTTTCATACAATGGAACAATCTTCAGCAAAACCTTCATGTTTTTATGTACATAGCATTCAAATATGTGCAAACCTAATCTATAAGGTGAAAAATAAGAATAGTCTTTACCTGGGGAGGCATTAGTTTTTGACTGGCCTATGAGAATTCTACAGTTCTGATAATGTTCTGGTCACTTACACTGAATTCCAGTCGTACTCACCTTTTAGAAATTCATTGAGTGATATAATTAAAGCAGATTTCCGTGTGTATATTAGATATCAACAAAAACTTTACTTCATGGGGAGAAAATTACTTTCTAGAGAAAAGGGAAAAGAAGCAAGGAAAACCATTTACACTGTTGTTTTACATTTTATTATATATATATATATATTTTTTTTTTTACACCATTCTTCCTTTTTGTACAATGCATGCTTTCTCCTCTCAGGTGTAGTCCCCGTAAAATTCCCACCACCAATTTACCTGAGCACCATCACCATAGTCCCTTGTGCTTTTCCCTCCTCTGTTATGATCCTTCTCCTTCCTCCTCCCCTGCAGAGTGTCTCCAAATTAATAGTTGCCTATTAGTTTTGCTTTTTAATTTATTATAATTATTTTTTCCTGATCCCTTATTTGGTACACTGTTTTTGAAACAACTAGTAGATCTGAATATAACTGTCAATATTGAATGATTAATAATAATGAAAAGGATTCAGTATGATAAACAGCACAAAATAGAAGAAAAACACTTTGGAAGAGGAGTACAAAACAAACAAAAGTCAGTTTAAGGATATTTTCTAATAAAACATGAGAAACCATGATTAATAATCAACCATGGTTCATTGAATTCATTAGGCTCTTCTACTTTTTTGTATGTTTACAATTTTTCATTATAATTTTAGAAGAATAGTATGCAGAACATGAAACCTTAAAACATACACAGTCTTGGAAACCAATGTTACCTCAATAAAAATAACACATAACCTATAGAAGATAATTCCTCAAGGAAATAAGACAATTTTATAATAAAAATTCTCACTGTTCTGCAAGAAAACAAAACATGGGCTCTGTGAAAGAGAGATCAAAGGGAAGGGAAGAGTATGTATTGGGGGAAAAATAATGGAGATGGAGGCATATAGTGAGAAGGAAAATAATACAAATTATTTATACGTATAGTGTTTAATATGTGCCAGACACTGCTCAGTCCTTTCATTTAGTAACTAACCTAGTATTTATAATAATTCTATAAATAGATGCTATCACTAGCCCTATTTTACAAATAAGGATATTGGGGCATAGGTGGTCAAAAATACAATTAAGGGCCTCTCTGGTGGTGCAAGAGGTTAAGCACCGCACTATGAAGCAATCCGCAGCCTCTGCAGCATGAGTTCAATCCCCGGCCAGCCAAGCAGCAACCCACATGGCACAGCAGACCTCTCTGGTCTCACCCGCTGCTCCCCTCAGCAGTGTATTTCAGTCAGTCTGCCTGTTCTGTTCCCCACTCTGTTTCTGGTGAATCCTCTCACACCCTGCATCTCTGGCCTGTACCCCAGCTCTTGTATGCATAAGTAGATAGATCTTTTAACAAAAATACAATTAAGACTCCAGTATGGCAAGATGAAAACATTAAAAGTGACAGACCAGAGAGCCAGCTGCTCACTCAGATATGTTCCAGGGAAGGCCTCAGCTACTGTACCCACAACCAGGTAAAACCCAAAATAAGAGGAAAGGGAGACCCATGCCCAGGAAAAGCCCCATCTATAGCAGAGCAAACCCCAAAGCACACGGTAGGGAGAAAGAAATACAAGTGGTCAAGGAAGTACTCAGGGTAACAATACTCCACAGAGAGAAAATTATTCTTCAGAACTCAACAACACTGACATGAAAGAATTTTTCTTTATGTCAGATTGTTATAGGACAGCCCCAATACTGAACGGGTTGCCTGGCTGTGGGTCCTCACCCGCGCGCTTACAAGGGACTTATTAATACTCCACTACAGGCATACACAAAAGGTGAATAAAAGGTTTATTTACAAGGGAAAAGGAAATAAGGAAAATGTACAACTCAGGGAAAAAATAGGGAAATAAAGTCTTTAATGCGTCCTACCCGATCCGCCGACCTGGAAACCCAAAGGCACTCTCAGAGCTGGCCAGACACTGCAAGCTGGCGGAGAGCCAAAATGGGGGACCCCTCCAAAGCCCACGTGTCTGGCTTTATACCAACCTGGCTGCTTAACCCCACCCTCAGGTCCCAGCCACCTTCCCTTTGGTGGTGATGGGATTTGGAGTTCCCAGTGTCTTTGGCTTTGGCCTGGGGTGGGGGTGGAGTCCACAAAGCCTGTATGGAATTAGCTTTAGGACATCCTTTTCCCCCTAACAAGATGAAGAATTCAAAATTGCCGTAATTAAGAGCATCAAAGGAGAGAGGACATCCACATGGTGGGGAGGAAATGCTGCGAGTAAGACCTCCCATAAAAAAAAGTTAACAGGGAGGAAAAGCGGCAGGTCCCTGAGAGAACTGGGACACGGAAGATAAACGGGCGACTCTGGCACACTGCCCGAAGAAGAAAGTTGCCATAAAAGAGGACTAGAAGGGAGGAAAGCCCAGAACCCTGCCACCCTCCCCCACCCACAAAGTCCGCACTCTCCAACCAACAGAAAGGAGGGGAAAAAGAAAAAAAAAAAAAAAACTGAAACAACCAACAAGAACAAACTACTCATCAAGGGGTCTGTGCATCAAAAGGAACTATTTCAGCCACCACACCCTGTGAACTGGAACTGTGGAGAATCCTGCAGGATACGCAGCAGAGGTGAGGAACGGCTCCGGGTGCGGTTGGAGAAAAATAAAGACTCCCAGGAGACCTACAAACAGCCCCAGGCCAGCCGGTAAGCTGGTGTGGAAAAGCAGCGCTTGAAAAGCATATGCAGATCGGGGCTGCCCAGGTCCCCGCGCCTGCGACCTAGGCTTGCAGGGAGATGCACGCGGGTCTTCATTGAGGTAAATGTCCCTCACTGAGTAATCAGAAACCAGGCACCTGGACATGGGAGCTGGGTGCTAAAGGCGCCATTTCTGCGGACACTGAACTGGGCTACAGCCTGCATCCTGGACCTGAGGGCTTTGGGAACTGAGACCCGGGGCACGAAATTCGGGGCATGGGATCCCCATGGCCGTGGGGCACAAGGCAGACACAGCACCCCCATGCCGTTGAGGCTCTCCACGCCACTCCCACTCTGTTCCCCTGGACCCACAGGGTTAAAAACAGTTCCCGAAGGACACTAGGAAAGATCTCTGGCGCCACCTAACGACCAGAAAAAAAAATCACCAACACCCTATAGTTGGAAACCAGGGATCACAAAAACACCCTCAGGCCCTGAGAGAGGGTGGTCCACGCAAACGCAAACGGGGCTAAGGAGGGAAATAAGGCGTGGAGCAAGACCCCATCCTGGAACTGAGAGCTAGGCACAGGATCCGGGGTGTGGGACGCACCATAGCAGCAGGCACTGCACAGGGTGACAGCCAGCGCTTTGGATCTGATAGCCCTGGAGCCGAGACCTAGAGTGCAGACTTCAGCGCGTGGGATCCATACTGCTGCGGGCACAACACCTGGTGAACACAGGGCAGACACAGCACTTGGCTTGAATAAGAGCCCTTGTGTTGGGCCTCCCTGGTGGCGCAGCAGTTGAGCACTAGGTTGTGAAGCTGCCCACAGCCTCTGCCCCACCGGTTCGATCCCTGGCTGCTCCCCGGCCACTGGAGGGTCCCACATGGTGAGCAGACCTCTCCTGCCGCCCGCTGCTCCCCTCAGCAATGTACTTCGGTCCTTCTGCCTGCTCTGCTCCCTGCTCTGGCTCTGGTGAATTCTCTCACCCTCCCGTGCTTCTGACTGTACCCAGTGCTTGTATAAATAATAAATAAATAAATCTTAAAAAAAAAGAGCCCTTGTGTTGAGGTGCTCCCCTCTGACCCCCCTCCCATACTCAGAGAACCACTGGGAAAAGGCACAGGTTAGCAAGTACGGGTCTCTGGCGCCACCTCGTGACCAGAACTAATCACCAATTAGCTGATTCCCTGTTGGAACTGAGTAAATACAGAGGAAGGGAACTGTAAGGGACAGAGCCCAGCAACACATCATCAACACCCTGGTGGAGTTTTGGCCTACCAGTGCTGGTCTCAGTCTGGTAAACAGTTTCCAATACCCTTAAAGGAGCACTCCAAAGAGATGCCCGCCAACACCAGTGGCACAACATCCCAATGCATAGAACTATTTACAAAGCAAATAACAGGGAGAAGAAAAAATATAAATAACCAAGCAAGCCAGCAGGAGGACACACCACAAAAAGAACACAGTCACCAGAGCTCAACGATGACGTGAAGAACTTCTTAGCTATCAGATAGAGAATTAATAATCATCCTAATTAAAAAGCAGAAAGAAAACGAAAAGGAAAAAAAAATGATTTGAGACAAATAATCACTGAACTGAAGAATGAAATTGAGACCTTAAGAAAGGAAAGAAAAGAAATGCAGGAGATAAAAAGATTACTAGAAGAAATAAAGAACTCTGGGAAAAGCAATGAAAACAGGATCGATGAAATAGAAGAATGGATCAGTACTATCAAAGATACAGAAATAACAAGAGCCAAAAGAGAAAAGGAGAGAGAAGTGCAAATGAAGCAGTATGAGGAGACTCTTAGACAATTATCAGACTCCATGAGGAGAGGAAATGTAAGAGTTACAGGCATTCCAGAGGTGAGGAGAGAGACAAAGCAACTGAAAAAATATTCAAGGAGATAATTGAAGAAAACTTCCCAAGCATGATAAAAGAGATGAATATAGACATACAGGAAGTGAGAAGAACTCCCAATTACCACAATGAAAAGAAAACTATGGCAAGAGACCTAATAGTAAAGCTTGCAAGAGTCCAAGACAAGGAAAAAATAATAAAACTGGCAAGGGGGAAGAAACAGATAACTTATAAGGGAAAACCAATCAGGTTAACTTCTGACTTCTCTGAAGAAACATTACAGGCAAGAAGAAAATGGAGTAACATATTCAGCAAACTTCAAGACAGCAAATGCCAACCAAGAATACTTTACCCTACAAAGCTCTCCTTCCTCTACGAAGAAAAAATATGGACCTTCTCAGACAAACAGAAACTCCAGACATTCATTACAACTAAACCCCCACTCCAAAAAATTCTCCAAGAAGTCCTACAGCCAAAACCAACAGAGGAATGAACAAGAATAAATCAAGGAATAAAATCACAAAAAAGACAAACAAAATGGCAAACACAGATGCCAACATATCAATATTAACTCTAAA